AAATTCAGGTCCCCCATGACTACCACATCCCTAGCTTTTACTACCTCAGTGAGCTGACCCAAGAATTCCTGGTCAAGCTCCTCTGCTTGGGTAGGGGGTCTATAGTAGACTCCCACCAATAGGTCCCTTTCCCCTCTTCTGCCTTGAACCCTAACCCAAAGCACCTCAGAGTGCTTCTCCCCTGACTCCTTACTAATTAGCGAGGACGTGTAGTCCTCCTTGATGTAGAGTGCCACTCCTCCCCCTCTCTTTCCTATCCTGTGATTTTGTGGGACAACTAAGAGAAAAAACAGGATAGGAGTGACGTGGGGGTCAAAGGGTAAAAATGTGAAAATAAGTTCTCCAGAGGGGGACACGGAGCAGAGCCCCCTGGGCCACACCCCCCAGTCATCCAAGGAACCGGTGGACACTGCCCATTGGTGCTCTGCCCAGAAACATGCACAGCTAAGTGAGAGGAAAGCAGCCCTGCTGTCCCCAGGCACCTTCCTGGCCAGAGCCTCCTTCCTGGCCATATACAGGGCCCACTTGGTCAGGGCCAGGAGGAGGTTGTCATGTGCGTGAGGGTCTTCCTCTGCCTGCAGAAGGGGCAGGAGACCCCCAGGAAGCTCCTGAGAGCGAGTAGCCCCGAGCTGCTTGCCAGAGCAGGTTTTTATACTACTGGGGCCAGCACAGGTGTTGGTCCCAAGCTCTAGCTCCCCCTGGCTGCAGATCCGGAAGGATCTGGGCAGGATTATTTTGCCCCAAGTGACCTAACATGCCCCACACCAAAGTACATGTCTGGGCATGTGCGCTGAGGCAAAAATCCCTGGCTCAAATTTGTGCCATTCCTATTTGAGCTGCTGCAAGCACACGTGCCTGCACATGTGGACATGCCCTATGACTCCAGAAGCTGGGTCTCAAGTCTTCGGCCTGTAATGCCTACGTGTTAATCTGACCCTGTGTGTATCATTGCATTGTTTTGTATATTACACTTTATTTTTAGTGACCTTTGTTTCATATGACTATGCTGCATATAATGTATGTAGTTTTTACTTTAGCATGATTTCTGAACAAATGTGTGTTTGCATTAATATTGTGTTTGTGACAGTGGTTAAAAAGATTCTTTTTACTGTTCCTAAGACCAACACATGACCATTCATAAGCTCTGAGGAAGAAATACTGTGTGGAGAGATTTATGAAACATCTGGCAAAAAAATCAACATTTAAAAAAATAATGAAAGCAGATAAAGGGTTAGTTCTGGTTGGGCAAACTTCTTAAGTTTTTTTCCCCTTGCAGGACAGAACACTTTTGTTTTAGTCTCTCCTTCACACCCCCTTGAGTCTCTCCAGTCCTTTGTTTAGTTTGCCATTGATGTCTTCTGTCAGCATACCCTGGATCTTGTAGCTTACGTTTACCTAAACGTTTTGTGAAATCTTCCCTTCTGTGGTCTCTGTCTGAATTTGAGTTCCTGCTATATATTATTTCTAACTATATGAAAAAGTTCTAATTTAGAGTGGGTGTAGGAAGTTGCCGACTAGGGTATATAATTACATTAGTACCAGATGTTCTTTTCACATATGATTTCACCCACACACCTTGTATTTTCACTGTGAAGAAAGGGACATTCTTGTAGAAGTGTGGCCCTCAAAATGCAGTGCAAAATTTAAGCTGTTACTTGATGTGTTGTTGTGTTTTTTAAACATTGAGCCAATAAATGTGAAGCACATAGAGTCAATTTCTTTGATTGTTGTGTGTAAAGTATCTTTCATTCTCCAGGCACATGTCCAAAGGCAAAGTTTAAAATTGTTGCATGTGCTAAAATTAAGGCTCGTCGACTGCCTAGTTTCACTGTTGGACATCCACTCTTGCAGGATCTCCTCAGTTTTGAGCAAGCTAATCTGCAGCAACTACATTTAGTGCATGCTTTCCCCATAAAAACATGAAAGTTTTAGTAGTGGAAAGCATTTTCCTAGCATTCACATAGAGTAGGAACAAAAGGAAAAGTCAGTTACAGCAAATAATTTGTAAAATCAAGCTTTGGACCATGTATAAACAGTGAATTAGCCCCTGCAAAGCTGAATAAGTCCCTTTCTTAACTTGTTTTTGGCCATTTTGTATTAGTATTTAATGATACCACTGTAGTCATGCTGAGCTCATTCAGATCCCCATTGTGCCAAGAGTAAACTTGCTCAAGAAGTGAGAGGAGGAAAAAAAATTAGGTTAAATTTTTTTATTTTTCCCCCCACACTATCAACAATTTTCTCAAAATATTGAATTAGGAAAATGTCAGCGAACTCTGGTAGGCTCTCAAAAGCTAGTAACTGCTCCAAAAGAGCTTGCAGAGGGAAAGGATGGTTAACTGCTAATAAAAAATAAATACATGGAGTGTGAGACATAAAGGCATGATGCTAGCTAGGATAAACATTTTAAAGGAATATTGGCCCTTATACTTCAAGATGTTCCAACCACAAACTTCCGAATACTAAGAAGAAACCTTCCCTCATATGAAAGGTGGTGGAGATTTGTCTATGACACCTGTTACTGCGGCTTCCGGCTTTATAATCTGAGTCTAGTACTGGTTCTTGTTGGAGCTAGAATGCCAAAATGATCCAGTCCCATCATTTCTGTGCCTTGGCAACATTCAGCGGAAATTTAAAACTCTACCTCCTCATTATTTAAAATCTGCTTTCCCCACATATTTAATGTATTGTTTTTCTCTTATACCAGAGTTTACCAAAAATGAAGCACATTCTTCTAGGTTTGGGGAAATGCAGACAAATGTTTCCTCAAAGATAAGGAAATAGACATGAAAGATGTATAGGCTTTTGATGATTCATTGTGTGACTATCCATGGCTTACTGGTTGGTTTAATCTCACTAAGTGAGGTTTGCTTTTCAAGGTGGGCAATGCTGTTGTATTTGCACTCTATTCCACTCACTTTTTCAAGCTGATGGTTGGGGATTATTGATACTACTTGTAAGTACTGATATCAACAGCTTGAAGGCTTGCAGATGGCACCATGCTTGATGTGTTTACACATGTAGGCTCTGTCACCTTCTTACATTGAAATATCAACATATATCTGCTAAAATGGTAAAGTTATTGAAATTGATATCCATGATGAAAGTAAAAGCACAAGAGTCCCAACTGTTTAGAGCCATGGTACTCAACCTTTTGGCCCTGCAGGCCAGTAAGTGGGGAGGGGCTTGTGCCCCAGCACTGCCCCCTGATGTCAGAATTGGTATCCAGGGGCCTGGCACCTCCTCTTCCCCCCCTGAATGTGGTGGGATTCAGTCCTGGGGGGTCCTGCATCACCCCTTCCTGCCCCAGTGCACCAGAATTGGTCCTTGGAGGCCTAGCCCCACCCCTGTGCACCAGGCTGGATGCCTGGGACTGGGGCCTCTGGAGGCACTGCCCACTCCTTCCCCAGCATGCCAGGATTGGCCAACAGGTCCTTGTGCTGCCCCTGCTCAACCCTATATGCTGTGGGATCAGGTGCCAGATCCAGTGCACAGGGCCCAGGACTCCCCATGGATCAAAAAGTTGGCAATGGGAGTGCTACTGCTCCCCCGCTGCCAAATTTCCAGACCCGTGGGGAATCCCACAGGCCAAATGACACAAGGCAGCAGGCCAAAGGTTGAGTACTCCTAGCTTACAGTTTAAATTAACAAATGCCTGGTAACTACTGACATAACAGATTGCTAACTAGGTGCTTGTCTATATTTCAGGATGAGCATTTTGATGTTGGATTTAACTCTTATATCCAATGGGAGATTCACATATCTTTGCAGGGCATTTATAGTGGCTCATATGGATACCTTTTTTCTTTTTTAAGGCCCAAAACCTGAGTCTGAATAAATGCCAGATCAAGTACATAGTGTATTTAAACTAGGGTAAGCCAGTTAAAAACACCAAAAATGTGCCTCGGGTGCAAAGAAATCAGTAGTCTGATTTTGGAGCTTGATTCCAGAGCTATGGTTTCTGACACCTTGGCAAGGTGAGGCTACACCTGTGAACTAGAAGCCTCTTCTGCTTTTGCAAGTGTAAAACTTGATGTAAGCAAAATGGATGAGGAAAAGCTATTGTAGGTCTCTATGTATTGATTTTCATGGTGATGAATTAACAGACTCCAGAAGTCTAAGGTCATCTTTGGCTCCTTGGAAACTGGTGTAATGGGTTTTAGAATTATTTTTAGTCTCCTGAGAGTTGTTGGGAAAAATACGTATCTATCTGAAATGGGTAACAGCTGTTTTTCCCCTTAGTTTCAGGATATGAGGTTCTAAATTATTGATTTTGTTTTATAACAGAGTTGATCTTTGGAATGCCAGTAACTTGAAGTTTGGAGATGAGTTCCTAGGAGAACTGAGACTTCCTTTAAAATTCCTCCGGCAATCCAGCTCATATGAAGCATGGTACTTATATTTGCTTTACTTTATGGAGCATAGAAACTGAACTGTTTCTAGTAAAGCATGTGCTGTCTGTGTACTACAAAATTACTATTGCAATACAACAAAATTTAATTTGTGTACATATTTTCTTCTGGTTTCAAAAAAACAAACGCCCAAGCCAAAATTTTCAGTTACCAAACTATCAGGACAGAAACACATAAGGCATAGTTCTGATGGTATGATTTGAGATTTTGGCTTGGGATTGTGTATATGTACGTAAACCAGGTGAGAATTTTAATGTACTGAATTTAATGATGTTATGTACTGTACTCAGCAGCAGAGACTTAGTTTTATTGCTATATCAGATGTAATATTGTCTGTGAAACGTTGTGATCAGACCTTTCTCTGTTACAGCATGTAAAATGACCTGGGGATCTTTGTGGGAAACCTAATTCAGAACTTCAGAAAGTCGCTATGTTTAGGAATGCCATGTGTGTTCTCTACAATACATTTTGTATATGTTATATGTATGTATATACATTTATAGCATTTAAACATATATTTTCTGTTTCAAGAGAAACTTTTTATTTTGTCTGTCAGGTATTTTCTGCAGCCCAGAGACAATGGCAACAAGTCACTGAAAACTGATGATCTTGGTTCTTTAAGGTTAAATGTGGTTTACACTGAAGATCATGTGTTTTCCTCAGACTATTACAACCCACTTAGAGACCTCCTGTTAAAATCTGCAGATGTTGAGGTAAACTTTGCTCATTGCTGCATGCTATTTTACCTATTTGCCCTCAAAGACCCATAAATATTTCTCATTTTACAATTGTGGGTATCATAAGTGAACTTACAGAGTTCCCACTGCTTGTTTTGCCACAAGAGATTCAAAGCTGTGTCGTTTTCATGCTTGTTTTTCGTCCAGACAGAAAAAGATCATTATCTCCATGCACTGATGGTAAGTAAAGACACACCCAGTAGTAGCAGTGATTATGAGCCCACAAGCTCTGTAGAGCTTTTCTAATTCTACATTTGAAAAGGCAAAATAAGCTTGGGTTCAAATGACTAGTTTCATTAACTGTGAAGGAACATGCTTGCGTATAGGTAGGAATTCTTATTCTGTGTGGGTTTTTTCATACTAATTCCAAAATGTTGAATGGACTCGGCCATATGTCTGTTCAAATGGTCCAAAATACTTTTAGCAGTTATACTAGTTCATCTTTTCCAAGAGAAAACTCTATTTCATTTGACAGCAGTTAAAATGTAGACAAAGATTTAGATTTTTATCCTTAGTATTTCACAAGCAGCTGTGATAGTCAGGGAAATGAACTAACAATAGAGATAGAGGAAAAAAGGGACTGTATTGTAATCATTTTTAAATTGCTGCCCTCTTGTGATCAAAACTTACAACAAAAAGTAACTGAAAATTAACATGTAGGCCTCTCTCAGATATATTTATGTAACTGGTTGCTGCCATTAATATGTATGGCTCTATTAAGGAGTTTGTGAAAAAGGAAGTTTGTCAATAAGGGGCGGTAGTTATAGAAACACATCACAAAGTTTTTGTTTTTTCTCCATTGTTCAGCCTGTTTCAGCATCTGCTGCACATGTGTTGGGTGAAGTTTGCAGAGAAAAACAGGAAGCAGCCATACCTTTGGTCAGGCTTTTTTTACACTATGGCAGAATAGTACCTTTCATCAGTGCAATTGCAAATGCTGAAGTGAAGAGGACTCAGTAAGTACAAACAAATGGCATATTAATATTTCCTGCACACAATAAAATACTACTTGTTGCCAGAATTCCACTCGGTTTATGAAAGCATTTTAAATACTATCATTATTTATTATTTGCATTGTAGTAGTAGTTAAAGGCCCTAGTCAAGAACCTGGGGCACTTGGTATAACTTTGTGCAGCTGTAACAAAAAGATGACTCCTGCCTTGAAGAACCAGGTGAGTTAAAGTGTCACTAGAACTTCCTGTAATCCCCTGCAAAGGTACCTCATGCTGCTTCTTAGAACTTTCCTTTTCCGTGATGCATATGAAAAAGACTGGATATTTGTTAGGTCACTTGGTTTTAGCTTGTAGGCTCTATGGAGGAGGGACCATCACTTTGTCCTGTGCATGTACAGCTTCTCACCTTTTGAGGTCTTGCTCCCTGACTTGGCAATAATAATAATTCTGAAATCCTGTAGTGTTCTCAGAGTTGTTGGCTGTAGCTGTGCTGATCTAAGGACATAGGCAGACAAGGTTCTTTGGGTAGATGCAATGTCTTTTATTAGACCAACTAAATAGTTAGACAAATTGTTCTTTGCAAGCTTTCAGGCACAAACACCCTTCTTCAGGCATAAGGAAAGTCTGTTGGTGCTTGTGACACACTGTGGGCACATTATAACGTGTCTGCAGTCTGATAAACCCAGGTAACCTGTATGCATTTTACCTGCTACATTTTATCACCTTCTCCCCTTTCCCTCTCCCTCCCTCCAAATGCCTTTTCACACTTATTGTTTCCCATTCCCTTTGAACCTCACTGACACGCATTTGCATTTCGACAGACCTGTATTTTGCATTTTGGCTTCTATTCTACCCAAGAAAGTACACAAACACCAACAGACTTTTCCTATGCCTGAAGGAGGGTGTTTGTGCCCAAAAGCATGCAAAGAACAATTTTTCCAACTGTTTAGTTGGTCTAATAAAAGATATCACATCTACCCAAAGAACCTTGTCTTCCTACAGTGTTCTCAGTAGTTCATGTGAAATCAGTTCAGCTTTGCAGGATTTTAAAGAACCGTCTCTTTCAGAATAAAAGTATTTGCCAACAAAGGCCATTTTCTCTCTAATCATATGGATACTGAAATTTAAGGCATCTTGGGACATTCATTTTTCCAAATGGAAGACTGAGCAGCAAAGGACTAAGTTGATTGTGACACTTGTGGAAAATAGGTTCACTCTTTTTTACCAGTCACTTCTGAATTCCTATCTTGAATAATGGTTTGCTGCTAGATTTTCATGGTAGTATGTCATATCCAGACCGTGTAGATTATAGCTAAGTACAGATGGTCAGAAAGACCAAAGCTGAATCAGTTCAATCTTTGCAGGTTAGTCTGAGCTGCATAGATTGAACCGATAAGCAAGTGAACACATATTAACTTTTGATTCCAGAAATGCAGTCATGTGCCAGCAGTGGCCCAAGCCAGAAGTAACAGGATACTAGAGCATACCTCCCTGCTGGGCTGGAGCAGACAGGTTGGATCAAGGCTAGCCTGCCCATCCTACAAGGGAGTGGAGGGGCTTGCAGGGGGGTGCAAAGCATCATGGGATGCTGGGAGACTGTGAGCTCACTTGAATCTGAAAGAGATCTGGGACAGAAGTTCAGTAAACCAATTTAATCTAAATCAACGAAGACTGATACTGCATCCATCCAAGTTTATCTTAAACTGGTTTTTGCCAGTTTGAAAGTGGTTTATGTGCACTGAACTTCTGTTGTGTTACAGATTTGAACCAATTTCTGATCGCTTCTACCTGTTTATGTGTAATTTCTATCTCTAGCCTCTGAGAGGAAGTTATAGCCCTTTGGTTGCTTTTGTCTGTACAGCAGATGGTCTTGATCCATTGCCTTGGGGATTCTGATTTAAGGTAGCAATCACCACAGACAGTACAAAGTTAAGACTTTGAGTGAACAGACATTTCAGAGAAGCCAGAGACTGAAATACTCTCTCTCCTGTAGGTATAGTCCTTCCAAGCTGTGGGTGAGTTTGAGGTACCAATGTATAGACACTGAGGAAGTTTGCTTTTCTCCATCTGTCATTTACCTGTTCGAGGCAGGCAGAGCATTCATTTTCAAAACTAACAAAAAAACCCCCCCTGAACAATGGAGTTGGAAAAGTAGCTCATCATAAACTTCCTTTCTGTAAATGGTTGCTATTACAGTAATGTATCAGAAGCTGAATAGACATGTTATTGTGTGTGAGAGAGAGTAAGCAAGAGACTACAGGCCCTATTTTGCATGTCACAGGCAGGTATCATTTAAGTAATTTAGATGCAGAAGAAGTAGTTGGAAGTGCAAATACATAACTGGTTTAAATTGCCTTTGCAAATAATAGAGAGCAGAAAATTGACCTGAAATTATTTGCATTCTCAGAAATTCTAGTGCAAAAAAAGAAACTTGAGAAACAACAGAATGAAAATCATGCTTTTGAAGTGGAAGTTTTAGTGGTTTCTTGCTGAATTGTTTGAATGCACATAGGGTTGTGAGCTACTGTATTACTACTTTTTTTTTTTTTTTGAGTAAGACATTTTTA